AAAGGCCATCCCTTATTAGCCACTATAGTGAGGAGGATTCGGACTGTAACCATCTTAGCCACTGGAGAATAGCTATCAAAGTAGTCAACACCCTGCAATTGATGATACCCTTTAGCGACTAAACGTCCCTTGAGCCTGTCAATTGTGCCATCTGGGTTTAATTTCACTTTATAAACCCATTTAGAACCAATAGCACGTTTCCCAGAAGGTAATGCAGTCAATTCCCAGGTCTGATTTCTTTCAAGTGCATCTAGTTCCCTTTGCATAGCTTGAGTCCAATCCTTGCTTTGACTAGCCTGAGTGTAAGAATGAGGTACCTGAATAGTTGACAAGGTAGCTAGAAATGCAGAATGTGATGTACTAATGTGGGGGGAAATATGGTAAGGAAAAGTGGGAGGTGAATACCCTGTAGAGGTTGATGGAATCTTCCTGCGAAGTGAAAGTAGATCAGCAGCTGGCAAAACCTCAGTGCTATCAACATTGGTAACGAAATCTTGCAACCAGGGGGGTTTAGATTTATTCCTGGTACTCTGTCGAAGAGTGGGAGCAGAAGTAGATGGTAAGGCAGGAGGTGATGGAATGTAGTTTTCCTCAGACTGTGTGTCAAGGAAGGGAACAGGTATCAAAGGAATTGACTCAGTAGTTGGAGTAGGTGGAATTGTAGAATTGTGTTGCAACTCTGTTTCTGGTGGAATGTTCAGCAAGGGTGAAGTGGTATCTTCATTCAGATCAAATCCCTGAGTGAAAGGCAAAGGAGAAGACAAATCAACTGAAGCTAAATCTTTGAAAGGAAAAACGGTTTCAAAAAATCTGATATCCCGTGACACTTGAATCTGTTTAGTGGCAATGTTGAAGATTTTGAATCCCTTTTGCCCAGGACTGTAACCTAGGAAAACACATTTATAACCCCTCTCCTCAAATTTATCTTTATGCGGTTTAGTATTAGCAATATAGCAAAGAGAACCAAAAGTCCTGAGTTGGGAATAATCAGGTTTCCTGCCATATAACTTCTCAAAAGGGGTAAGCCATCGAAGGATTTTTGAAGGGAGTCTATTTATTATGTGGGTGGCCATCAGAATGGAATAAGACCAGAATTTCTTTGGTAAATCTGCTTGAAACATTAAGGACCTTGCAATTTGAAGTAATTGTTTATGCTTACGTTCAACCACCCCGTTTTGTTGAGGTGTATAAACGCAAGTTCGATGATGTATGATTCCAGAGTTTTGAAGTAGAATTAGGCACTCAGCATTTAGAAACTCAGTACCATTATCTGTCCTCAGGCATTTGACCCTTTTTCCAAACTGAGTTTCAACCATTTTAAAAAAACAATCAAGGGTTTTGGTGACTTGTGTCTTGTGATGAAGTAAGAAGGTCCAGGTTGCCCTGCTGAAATCATCAACCACAGTAAAAAAATATGGAGTTCCAGTTAAAGAAATTTGTCTGTAGGGTCCCCAAAGATCAGCATGAAGTGTTTCAAAAATTTCATTAGTGTGAATGGAGCTGATTGGAAATGGATTTCTCTGTTGTTTTGCTTTGTGACAAACTTCACAGTGCTGTAAAATCTCAAGTTCCTTTGAGGAATGTTTCAGGAAGTTTAAGTGTTGTAGAGTGTGAAATGAGGTGTGGCCAAGTCTGCTATGCCATTTTAAGAGTGAATCACTACTGGATAAAACGGAACTTTTATTGGTATCATAAATGTGATTACAAAGTGGAAAGAAACTAGAATTTTCAGACTTGATAATGAGCTGCCTAATGTCTTCTTTGTTACTAGAATGGAAACTGGAGTCATCCAACAAATACAATTTTCCTATAAGCCTGCCAACAACTAAAATACTTTCACTCTGCAGGTCCTGCAATAGGCAGAAATAAGGGTAGAATATCAGTTTTAAGTGTGCACTTTGGGTGAGTTTGGGTACAGATAGGAGATTAAAT